ACTGGGCCAGCGTTCATACCACAGCAATAACAATCGGTATTCAACCTCAGGCCTATTAACCAAACTCCTTAAGACCACCATCTTGACCCGCACTCGTTTTTCATCCCTCGTTCTCTCCCATTGACTTTAATGCATTTCAGTCAAAGTTATCCCACTGGGCCAGCGTTCATACCACAGCAATAACAATCGGTATTCAACCTCAGGCCTATTAACCAAACACATTAAGACCACCATTTTGACCCGCACTCGTCTTTCATCCCTCGTTCTCTCCCATTGACTTTAATGCATTTCAGTCAAAGTTATCCCACTGGGCCAGCGTTCATACCACAGCAATAACAATCGGTATTCAACCTCAGGCCTATTAACCAAACACATTAAGACCACCATTTTGACCTGCACTCGTCTTTCATCCCTCGTTCTCTCCCATTGACTTAAATGCATTTCAGTCAACGTTTTCCCACTAGGCCAGCGTTCATGCCACAGCAACAAGACTTGGTATTTAACCTTAGGCCTCATCACCCAACACCCCAAGTCCACCATCTTGACCGACACTCTTCTTTCATGCCACGTTCTTTCCCATTGACTTCAATGCATTTCTGTCAAAGTATCCCTACTCGGCCAGTGTTCATGCCATAGCAATAACAATCGGTATTTAACCTAAGACCTGTTAACCTAACACATTAAGACCATCATCTGGACCCGCACTCGTCTTTCATCACTCGTTCTCTCCCATTGACTTCAATGTATTTCAGTCAAAGTTTACCCACACGGCTAGTGTTCATGCCACAGCAATAAGACTCTGTATTCAACCTCAGGCGTCATCACCCAACACCCCAAGTCCACCATCTTGACCCGCACTCGTCTTTCATCCCTCGTTCTCTCCCATTGACTTCAATGCATTTCTGTCAAAGTTTTCCTACTCGGCCAGTGTTCATGCCACAGCAATAACACTCGGTATTTCCTATTCGGCCACATCATCAACACTTAATATTAAACCTCAGGCCTCATCAACAAACACCTAGCAACACCGTAGCAACCACCTAGCGACGCCTAGCAACAGCATAGCAACCACCTACAATTGCATAGCAACACCATAGCAACCATTTAGCCACGCCTAGCAACCACCTAGCAACCAGGTACTGAGACCATAGCAATGCCTTCTGACACCATAGCAACCACCCAGCTATGCCTAGCAACACCATAGCAACCACCCAGCTATGCCTAGCAACCACCTTCTTAGACCATAGTAACGCCTTCTGACATCATAGCAACTAACTTGCAGCAGGTAAGTAATCATATGTTTATAAATTTGATTATGCACATACAGATGGAGATAGTCAGGCAGCTCTGCATATGTTTTTGCAAATAATTTTGCTACAATAATAGCCGAACACAATTAGCTAAAGTAATAACACACGCGGTGTCATTAGGCAAAACTGAAATGTATATTTTAGTGTCATCGGCATAGGAGTGATAATTAACATCATGTTTTACCTAATGGCAGCATGTACAGAAAAAACAATAAAGGTCCAAGAATTGATCCCTGTGGTACTCAGTTTTGACCAGTGGCATTGATGGCAGTACAGTTTTTTTAACATTTGAACATATTGATATTCAGTAGTCAGATATGATTTAAACCACTTTGACACCATCCCACACAACCCAAAATCAAATTCAAGTCTTTTTAACAGAGTAAAATGGTCAATCATGTCAAAGGCTGCACTAAGGTACAAAAGCATTAGCACAGTCACATTGCCAGCATCATTTGCCATTGTTATCATTTATGACTTTAGTGTCAGTGCTGTGTCCCTCGCAGAAGCCCGACTGGAATCCATCCTGTATGTTGTGTCTCTTGAAGTATGACTGAAGTTGAGTAGCGACTATCTTCTCCAAAACAATGGTATATTACATGCAGGTCTTTAATTGCTGAGCTCCTGTGGATCCAAACTTAGTTTCTTCAATAGAGGTCTAATTACTGCTACTTTAAATTGGTTAGGCACATTGCAGGTTTGCAGCCCGGCCATGGCAGAAGAGTCACGTCTATGGGAAAGTCCTTAACCCGCAACTCCATGGGCATCACTGTGGGTTGCTGCCCTTCACTGCCAAGCTTTCTCTCACTATACGCTATATAGTACACCTGCTTATTCATGCAGCTGTCTAATAAGCCAACTCTAACATTTCTGACTATCAAGTCTCCAATCATGAGCACCTTTTCCGCTACGGCAGACAAACTGCTGAGAGCAGAGAACTTGTTGCTAAGTGCAACAGCTGACTGGTGTGCAACAGCTCTCAGCTCAGAGCTCCTAGGACTATGTCTGACCGTGACCCAGGGCTCACCTGTGCTGGCTGCTGGTGTTGGCTCCGAGGACCAAGGGACTACAGCCAGATCTAAGCTGGCTATGTGCTACAGTTGAGCTGTATCTAAAAATCACTCAGTCTGGTTAATCTTCACTTAAGGTACTAATGTGCCCCTCCAATGCGCACACCTTGTCCTCCAACTTTACTATGACTATTCACTTCAGGCATACAATGCTGTCAGGAATGTTCGAAGGACAATCTATGCTGTACATGCCACAGGAGCTACAGTACAAGACACAGGTGCAGAAGACAATCACAACTTTCCCTTTTGATTACAATTGATTGTCGGAGATCGTCTGTGGCCAGGAAAGGTGGTTAATCTGAGTTTGGAGATTAGCTTGCGGAAGATTATTCTGTATTAATATATTTGTAATATATACATGATCCGCACACACACACACAATACCATTCAGAGGCACCACATTTTTCAAATGTTATAGCCCAGAGTACCCCAAGGAAGCTCCTGCAAATCCAGGGAGAATATGCTGTCTTTATGCACATAAAATGCGGGAAAGATTCAAATTCTGTATACGTGTAGTTTGTTGTTCATGTGATGAATTTTGGCTAGTGAAGTGATGATGTATCTGAAACAATAATTTCAACGTTTTTCAGCCTGTCTGTATACAAAGAAAACCACATTATTGCTTTGTCATTGAGTGCTTAATGAAATGGCCTTAAAGGTGAGGTGTGATATGAAGAGAAGTTTAACAGCACATGCTTTATGCTGGGTTTATGGGTTAGTACTAGATCAGTGGGGTTCCTTTCCACTGAATTGTTTTCTTGGTCGATTCATTTTCAGCTTGCTTTTATTATGTCTGTGCTGATTTAAGTGGGTTAGCAAGGTAAGTGGCCATTGGACTAAATCTCTACAAATTAAGACCAATAACAGAGTATTAGGCCAGAGTCGGGGCATAAGGAGATAGATCTCAGAATTCTCCCATACCTACTAAAATACTGCTTAACTATTAGATGCCATAGTGAGGGGCAATGAAAGAATAGGTTTGGAGAATGCGATCTGATTAGATGACATTTTGACTAACGATCATGGGCTCAACTGCATTTCACGCATGGATTGTTTCAAAATAAAAGTTGTCCACTGCCCAATTTTTATTTTAATTTGCCTGTTGTCAAATGACTGTTATATATGTATTTTGTTTCCAATTGATGTTTACCCATGATGCATTCATTGTAATATGATTCTCTCTGTTTCCAGAGTAAGGAGATAGTCTTTCAGCTCCAGGAGGACTTGATGAAAGTTTTAAATGAGCTGTACACCGTAAGTGCTGTTCTTTTCCCTGTTTTCAGTGGGTTCCCAGAAAAAAAACTTTTTGGATTGTTTTTGTAATGTTCATGTCATTTTTAGTAGGTCATCTAGGTTACATGTACAAAAGTGAGCAAACTTGAATTGTTAAAGTTGGAAAATAGCGTAGATCACAGGTGTCAAATTCAAGGCCTACAGGCTTCATCCAGCCTATGATATTGTATCCAGCCTGTGCAATGAAATCTTAAATCTATCAGAACTAGCCCTCCAGTATACAGCGCACACATCAATGGCATTACAAATCGCAGATTGCATAGCAGTCTGTCCGTCAGTCAAGGTAGGGCTACACGAATTCACTTCGTGATGCACTCGCAATTATATGGCGCATGCTCAGTAATCACCAGGGCTGGCTGCTGAAACGTTTATCTGGATGCCAGCATTTCAGTACTATGTGAACATTTACTTATGCAGACAATTTGGTCAGCAAATTGGTAGTGCACCTAAAATGTTAGTAATCGGTATAAATTTGGCATATCCTTATGTTTAATAAAGCTTGGGACTTTAAAGTGCTCAAAGTACTGCCACACCGCCAACATCATTTTACCTAGTTTAACCACAATTTCTCCTCTTTTAAAAGATGATGTGGCTGATCAGTTTCTTTTTTTCTCTGCGTCTTCAGTGCTTATGGCTACCAATCAACAGATAATTTCAGCTGTCTGGCTTGGTCTTACACCCAGGAAAATTCATGTTTGTAATTGACCCCTATGAATGGGATGCAAAAGGTTAACCTTCTCGAAAGCAGACATGAGCTTTTCTGTTTGGCGTGCATTAGGACCTAAGAATAAGGCTCACATAGCTGAGAATTTCAGCAGGTAATCCTTGCAAGTCATACATTAATCATTTAGCTACGCAACTGCTAGGAGGGCCAGATGGCCAAATAAATTATTTATTTATTGAAAGAGGTTTTTTTTTGGCTAATTTATTCATTCATTTTCCACTACAAGAACTGCCTCACAAGCTACACAATAAAGAGCATTCATCAGCTGTCAGAGTTTAGAGTCAGAGCCCAGGTCTCAGGGTGCTTCGTAGCAGAGATGGGGAGTCAAGTTTGTGAATCGGATTCAAGTCGCTCTTAAATTGATTTCCGACTCTACTTGCAACTCGTTACTTCAACTTGACTCTGACTCCTTGATAGCAACTTGTGAACAATAAGAGGCTTTAAGGCTCTGTTGAAATTTCTACACATGAGGTGTTAAACATGCTAGGTGGTGTCAACAATCTCTAACACGTTTCTGTTTTGTCACTAGTTCAAATTATGGACCTGATATGACAAAGTACGGGATATTCCGAGTGTTATTTTGAGTGTTATTTTACATTAGATGGCACCGCTTAGAAATAGGCGTTGCTTAACATATGTCATAAATTATATATCGCCTATATTGTGTTGTCATATAGTGACACCGAATGGTATAGATTGCCATAAATCTGATCATTTAGCAGGTATGTCCCAAAAACACAATTTAGCAGGTATGTCCAGAAAAGTTTCTGACTTCCCCTTCCAAGTCAAGCTGTATTTTTTTACAAATTAAAAAGTGCCTGCACCTCTTCATTGTGCCCTACATTACATTGTGCCCTACGCAATGTAGTGTTATGTCTTAAATGATTCACAGTACTGTCACGCATTCAAATTTAACGGTTTTTAATAAAGAAAAAACATAATGCCTGCAAATAATTTGGTTTGAATAGTAATATAACTGACCGCTCTCCCATGACTAAAAGAGTGGCATGACTGCATACACTAATTTAACTTTTTAACATGGAGTTTGTGGTGTTACTTGCATAATCATGTGAGAGACAAATCAATTTTATCCATTAATTGGAGTTTTTGCTTTGGAACGATGTGTAAAAATGAAGATGGTGATTTACTTTAACATGCATTTACTTTAGCAGCATGACAAATGGGGTCTTGGTCATTCTCATTCATTAGCCAATCACATTACTGTAACATAGTTTAGGGCAGAGTCAGGCATGGTTTGGTTAGGCTGCTTCATTCACAGGAAGCTTCTTTTTTGTTAATCATGTCGGGAAAGGTTTCAGTTGCGCGCGCGCATGTGTGTGTGTGTGTGTGTGTGTGGTCCAGGTATACATTACATTGTTGGTGTTATGGCGCGTACGCGCCCGGAGCGCAGACAAACAGGCAGGAATCCAGGGATCAGGAACACGGGGTTTAATGGCAGCACAAAGCACGCTACGTTACAACATCAATGACCGGACTGGGGAAACAAACGGAAACGCGGACTAAATACAATGAACTAATGACAACAATCAGAAACAGCTGTAAAACACTGGGATTCCACATGAGGTTAACGAGGGGGCGTGGCACATGAGAGGAGCGGACGATCGGGGCATGACAGTTGGGACATTTGAATGTCTCCACAATGTGACAAAAACTGTTATTTTCTAGCTCTGGGCGCCAGTTGCTGGACAACTTCCTGTACAGATTTGTCCCTAGTCGCGCCGCCGGGCTGTCTCTCCTCCTCCACCTCCTCCCCCCGCACATATCCCTTTTCCTCGTCCGTTTTTTCTTTCCGCTCGGTAATGATAATTTCTTGCCCCTGATTTTCCTCTTTTCAGACTAAATTCAGATACCTCTGTAGCAATTGGTTGTATCTCTTTACTTTTTCATGTAAACTCTTGTGATAAATGTACAAAACATTTTCGTGCAGGTTTGAAAAATAAAAACACACAAGTTACATTTTAAAACAAATGTACATCTTTGAAAAAAAACTTTCATTTTAAAACATCTTACTTTCATGATACATTTTAAAAACCATCTTACTTTGAAAAACTTTCATATTACATTAACAAATTTATTCGATGAAATATTTTTAAAGACGTACAACACCCTTTTACGATGCTGCTAGTTTTACATTTCAGTACCAAAAAGGCAGAGTTTCCCCGCTAGTCAACAATCTGCGTTTGTCGTAGACCTTTTTATCTAGAGGCCTATTAAACAGGCGAAAACTATTCATGTCGTGTTCGATTTTGTTGTAGTGCGTCATTATAGGGAGATTATTCCTACATCCACCGATGTAGTTTTCAAGCAATCCGATCATACTGTCAAAGTTTACCTTTTGACAGGTTTCGTAATTTAGATTTATACCCTTACATTTCAACTGTGTTTTCCTGTTGTTGAGTCGGTAACAGTAACTTTTTGGCCCCAGCGCACCCCACGAAGCGATGTATTCGTTGGGGGCTAATTCGGACGTGAGCTCCTCCAGGTAATTTCCTAAGGTCGGCTCATATTCACCCGGCCTGCTTATGTACACGATGCTGTCTGTGTCGTGATACAGGACCCACCGCCCCAATTTTTCCAGTTCTTTGTAAAGTGTCAACCACCCCCATGCGGTAGTTTGACAGGCTATGAATATGTTAGTCTTTCCGGGCGGCACTTTGTAGGAAGACTTGTAACGGCAGCGGATGAGGGCGACCCCATCGTTGACAAAAGCAAAACTGGAAATGTCGTACAGCTCCGAGCAGAAAAAATTTAAAAACACCCCCGGGTCAGACACTATAGATGTCTGGAGCATGTTGTTCCTCTTACCCCATAGAGAGTTAAGCAGAAGCTTGGCCACCTGCCTCTTACCCCCGTTAGACCCTATCTTATCGGGCTCCAATTGGATCCCCTCACGCTTGAGATTTAATATAGTCCCTACGACCCGCGTCATCGGTCGCGTCGTCGGGGTAGCCCGAAGCCTGTTGCTTCACTTTGAGAAAGGTTTTAATGTAGCCTCTAAACAGGTTGCCGCTGGTCTGGGGAAAATGCCACACTTCGTGCACCTTCACGACCGAATAGCCCCTGTCTAATGCCAGATTGAGCTCCGCAGAGACCCACATGCCGGTCAGCGCCCGCTCTGCGTCAGAATGACCGCAGGCCCCCTCCTGCCTGTTCTCGATCACGCACGTCCTGCACAGTGTAAACACAAGTTTCCCATTTGGCAGTCTGCTGGGTAGGGCGGGGAAAAACAGCTTGCGCGGGGGGTTCACCGTGGCTTTGATCAGGCCAAAGTATTTATTCAGAGGTTTAAAATTTGAATGAATGATTTCCGGGTGCCCCACGGGGAATTCACATTTAGCCAGATTGAATGGGTACAGCAACGTGAAATCCACGTAGTGGACGCGCTCTTCCCCCGTGACGTCGTAACGCAGGTGAATCGCTGACGTCCGACCCCCAAACAGCACTTCTCGCGGCCTAAGCGGGTCAGGGGGCTGAAAGTCTGACAGGAAATGCTGCATTTGTGGGTCGTGAGTTTTAGCGTGAGCCCATTCGTGTTCCCAGATGGATTCTATGTTCATATTAAACTCTTGGTGCAATGGCTCGAGTTTTCCCCTTGTTTTAATGTACAGGGAACCGAAGCTCTCGCGGGTCAGGGGGCAGACATCGTGTTCATTGTTGCACGTAGGACACCCGTGAAACTGGCAGCCTAGAAACTCGAAAGCCCATTTCTTTCCCTCTATCTCCGCGTATCCGTGTAGATGAAAGCGCCCCACACACACTTCACCCCCAGGCAGCGCATGTCAAATTTCGATGCCGCGTGTGTGGCCGATGAATTCTAGCTACTGGATCGAAACGTTGGAATAACTTTTGTATTGCCTTCTGTAAACCCATACGTCCGGGATCGCGATCGTATCTCTGGGCAGGAAATTTGTCCTGTAAACCAGCAACGCGGCTGAAGTGATGGTCGCAACTCATGAGCGTTTTAAACTCCCACAGGAAGCGCAAGCAGCCCTCTCTCAGAATCTCCACGTCGTTCTTACAGTAAGCGATCATCTCTTTGTGAAAATTAAAGGTCTGGTGCTTTACACCGTCGTACCATTGATAAAACTTGTCGCGTTCTTTGCCGGGCATTTGATCGGGCCCAAACTGATCGGGAGGAGGGTACAGGCCTACGTAGCTAAAGTTTTCCATGTCTGTGAAATGATACAGAAAATAGCCTTTTCGCATCTGAGTTGAG